GAGAAATCGGGTTCAATAGGCCCTTTCCGGAATTCAGTGCCATCTGGTGACTCAAATGGCAGTTTATCTTTTACTATACTAATGGCGGCAATGAACCTGTGGTCTGCAGTATTTTATGGGGCACCGTCACTTTTAAAGGTCAACGGTAAACGGGAATGTGCACTTCACTGCAATTACTTTTCAATCTCTTTTAGTGTCGATGGCAAAACAAATGCAGCCAGTCGGAACGAAGCGCCAACCCACATAGACGCCTTGATAGAGTTCTATACGTCAAGGGGCTTTGAAGCCGAGTGAGTGCTACTAACAGATTGACTGGCACCGAGTTTGAAATGAACGCTTACGCAGCTCTGGCGCCCAATTCCTGCTTCACGCCGCGCTAACATTTAGAATGTATAGGTCTCGAATCATCTGCTTAGGAGCATCTTAAACTTCTTCCTTCATCAGTAAACAGAAGGCCGCCATTAGTATAGCACATATGCCATTTTCAGATGATGATGATAATAGTGATCAAAGTGGCCAGACTGAATTCCGGAAAGGGTCTATTTACCCCCGGTCAAACCTCCTGGGCGAAGGCATGCTTCAGCTTAGAATAACTTGGCAAAAGGGCGAAGCTTACATTTTTTGCGAGCCAATCAGAACCTCCGAGCGAAGCACGTGATAACAAAGAGCAAAAATCCGTTCCAATAGTATTTTGTCACGTGACGCAACTGGTCCTCAATGATAGATGTGATATATCACGGTCAATTGGTACACTAAATAAAATCAGACACTTGTTACCAAACTGGCTTAAACTGCAGCTTTACTACACCCTTGTGTATTCCCGCCTACAGTATTGTCTTTTAGTTTGGAGAACCACGGCGAAAACAAACATTGAAAAAGTTTTTCTTTTACAAAAGAAAGCCGTTAGGTTCATACGATTATATTCAGCATACATCGCCCACATTCGAAAAATACAAGCTATTACCCATCGGACATGTTTTTTCTATTAAATTAGCGAACATTATATTTGACGAGATAAAGCGGGATGAGACCCCTCTCTTCAACGCCTACCTTCATAAGCCTGCCGCAGGCAAGTAGCCAGGATTTTGTTGCGGGGGGGGGGGGGGGGGGGGGGGGGGGGGGCACTCATGACGAAATGCTGTATGAGGGGGAAGGGGGAGAGGAGGTCCCAGCAAAATAAAAAATTTCGGGCGGGCCCCCCCCCCCCCCCCCCCCTGGCTACGTGCCTAGCCCGCCGATTACACTCTTAGACACATCTTTTACACTAAACAGAACGTTAGAACAAACTATGGTACTCAAACACTTTATTATCAAATTGCTGACTGACTAAATAATCACGCAAATATAGTTCAAACGGTACACAACTGTAGCAATCTCCAGATGTTTAAGAAAATGATCAAATTGTATTTTCTTTCAATCGAATAATATGCACCTGCCGCTTGTGCCGTTAGTTCAAATGTGCAAATGTGATCAATTATATTTTATGTAACAGTGTTTCTTCTTTTTTACCTAACTTTGTAACTCTTCAAAGGTTTTCATCCGTAAACTTATTTTGATGTGAATTAGGTAATTGATGTTCATTTTTTTTTCGGTACGTGCCGAGTGCTGTAATGGGGGCCGGTGGCCACGTCAGAGGACTTCGCGTCTTTTTTTGCCGCAGCCTCCCAGGCATATCATGTCGAAATAAACTTATTATTATATTATTATTATATATTAAAAAGGAGGGCCGATTCCAGAGGAGTGTCAGAAGCGTCAGGTGGTGCAGGGAGAGCGAAACAGTTTATTTCCGTTTTTTTTTTTTTAGCTCTCATTTAGAAATTGAGTATTTTGTCACGTGACTCGCTCCGGCACACTCATTTGCTCGCCGATGAGCTTGGCGCCACCGTTTGGTAAGTATCGCTAAGAGTGCGGCATGCTGACTCCATCGTTTTTTGCGAGTCAGGCTTTGCTCCGCTCGTAATTTGAGAGCTGTGCGGAAGTGATCGCTTCCCTAGTCGTTCATGATTCATTCCATGACGCTTTGAATCTCACGGAGGAGAGGTTCTCTATAGTAAAACATTTGCAGGTGACTGTGAGTCGATGAACGCCAGTTATAACAACAACCCATACTTGGTTTCAACTTCAGCTTAGGTCCGGGCGTGGCCGTTGTTATGAGCCGAAGGTCCAATCAAAGAGCGCAAAAAGTGCAACGTCATGGCGTTCTCCGCTCTTGATAGGACGAGCCGGCGGAGGAGCAGCATGCACTGAAAAACCACGAACACCACTGGTCCTTTCAACTGCGGAGAGCACGCCATGACAATGTGCCTTTTTCGCCGTTAGATTGGCCCTTCGGCTCGTAACATCGGCCACGCTCTGGCCTAAGGTGAAACAAAGTATAGTAGCTGGCTTTGCAGCCGAAATGCCAAAGAGCGAGCGCCATCAACTTTTTTTTTTTTTTTTTTTGGGGGGGGGGGGGCGTTTTTAGCGATCCGATTGTTTTTTGTTGTTGTTTTTATCCCCTCGAGATATGAGTCCTGCATGCCCTGGCGGACCTTTCGGCGCCTCTCTATGAATGGCGCCTTGTGCGGCTGCACAGGTCGCCCACCCCAAAGGCCGGCCCTGCGTAAAAGTCCTTCACGCCAAATACAACTGCTCGTCCTTTCTTGTCGACTTGAGCATAGTTGCATTTGCCTTTGCCCAACGTTCGCGAAGCGTAGGCGGTTGGTGCTTCGAAACCGTCATCGCTGAGCTGAAACAGAAATATACCTGAGCGCGCCGCCGGTTACTAGCAATATATATCAGCTTTCTTCGTCGTTCCCGTGGAAAGATCCTATGAAGATTTCATAGTCCAGACTTTCCCGTTGATGCTTGTGGACGCAATACCGGACTTGGACACTCAGTCGAATACCTTTTAATGATTGTTGAAGCCTGATAAGTGTCTGTTTCTCGTCTTCGATGAATCGTATACGTTCAAGCTTCCTACGTTTTTTTTCATAGTGATTGAGACGTGGAAGCTCCCGTGACGCCAAAAGTGGCCCGAAGCGAAAGGCGCAAACGAGTGAAACAAAACAAAACAAAAAAAAAACAAGCGCAATGAGTTACCGCCAAGGAGGTTGGCCACCGCTGACATGAACCAATTTTGTCAGACAGAAACGCGCATTTGACTAAAAACCCGAGCAACGTTAGTTTCTAAAACTGCGCATGAGCATCTTCCATGACTTGCGTTTCGTAATGATATGCTATAATTAAAATTTAAAGACGTAACTCCTTTTCAAACTCTGAAACAGTTTTTAAGAAAAGAATTGCAGCTCACTCTCGCTCCCCGGCGGGAAGCAGCACGACGGCGTGCAGCTTGAACGAGACTTTGTGAAAGAAGTTCGCGGGCGCGTCTATGAAACGCCAAAGCCAGCTTGGACGTTTTCAAGTCAAACTCGGTGTTGAGGCGGACTTCAGGAAGTCGAAGGTCGGCTACAGATCAAGTCACATCTATAAATTCGGGAGTAAATGATTGGTCTCCGTAGGTTCTGCGAGAAAGTTGACACGCAGTTTTGTTCATAAAAATGTGGACCTATTTTCAAATAAATACGGTAGGTCGAGCCACCTTTTGAACTCGCTTCATTTGTAATCTTTTGTATGTACATTTTGCACTTGTAAAGCCAAATAAAGAAGTACGTAGCTAAAAAAAATTATGCCTATAAGGCACATACACTAAAAAAAAATGGACATTGTGCAAGTCGTCGTGCCATTGTCCATTTACATAAACATGATCAAATCTCAGGAATCAAGTCATTTATTTTTAAATATTTCAGAATACTACCAGTGCTCTCCAGGTAGTACTGTACATTACCACAAGTAGATAAATTATCAAACGCTGCATACGCTGCAATTATCAAGCAGAGTAAATAAAAATGTAAGAAAACAATCCAATAACTGATTAACATAAAACCGTGGACTTACCATCAAATCGTTTCTGTAATATCACAGAAACATATATATTGCGTTATGAACATGTAAAATAAATTCTATATCCGAAACAATGCTTCTGAGTTTTCTCAAAATCATAAAAACAGTCAAGAAATATAATAGTAAATGGAAGCCAATCGCATTCATTTATTGCCCCACGCAATCCTTAGGCCCACGGACAAAAAAAAAAAGGAAAAACACACACCTCACAAACTCAGCTATATTTTACTTCATAATGTGTGCAAAAGCCGGTTGTGTCAATAAAGTTTTGCCGAGGTTTGTGATTTGCAATGTTTGCGATAAAGCTTAGCTTCAGGCTTGCTGTGTAGTTCGTTTTTCGTCTCCTCGCCTATTACAATTATGTATGACGTTGAAATCGTCTTGCCTGCTTGCTTAATTGGTCGTGTATCTATTGTCTGCATAAAAATATATTTAAATATATCTACCCAATCACCACGAGTAGTCACCACATTGAAACGATAGGGCTCTTTGAACAGAAATTGAATAAACTAGCATTCTTGTGCACCAAATGTGATATCTCCCAGCTCTTTCCATTAACTCGACTTGGTCACCGTGGAAGGGAATGTGGCTATTTGTTTAATGGCATATCACATTTCGCTGTATGTTTTACTTAATCTCTCCATGTGTGGCTAATCGTTTGTCACAAAACTTAAAAATTCCTTTTTCTCTTTTCGCAAGTAACAAATCCCGAAATAAAAAAGCAAGCTCTAAATTAAACTGAACGAAAGTAAGACAGGAGTTATCATCTTAGCTTTTAAACGGCGATTTAGCTATTTCACGATACTTGCGGTCTCTAGCAAAAGGTGAACATCTGTCTTCAATGAAAGTGTTATCGTTTAGCGGAGTTTCATGAGCGAATTTTCAGGAAAAGTGTAGTTTGTCCTTCTCAATGCACCGCGCCCTTTCAGTTAAATTTAGGATATCTACAAAAACAGAAGAAAAGCAAGCTTCTTCAAAATTTTAAGTGGGAGTTTGCAAGCCTGGGCATGGGACTTACAATTAGTTATCGTCTAAATGAAACACATGAGGCAATTCTATTTAAAGGGCCATGCGAGGACGTTCTGATCTTAAAGTTTATTCTTCATTACCATATCATTCATTCTTCATTGACGTCTCCTTCTTCTGCATCATCATCTCTATTTTCTGCATCATCTTCTCCATCTTTCGCATCATCTTCATCGTGTCTTTCTTGTTCGTCTTCACAGTGTTTTTCATCTCCAACATCTTGTTTTTCATCTTCAACACATGGTTTTTCATCTTCAACGTCCTGTTCATCATTACTCTCACTCTGCTATTCATCCTCTTCGCCTTCTCTCTTCTGCTTCTTAGCATGTCCATTATGTTCATCACATCATTTTCAAACTTTTCATCATCATCATCTTTTTCTTCTTTTTCGTCCTCATCATCATCAAAATCGTCATCCTCTTCATAATCATCATCATCATCTTCTTCTTCTTCTTCTTCTTCTTCTTCTTCTTCTTCTTCTTCTTCTTCTTCTTCTTCTTTTTCTTCTCCTTCTTCTTCGTGTTCTTCTCCTTTTTCTTCTGAGTGCTGGTTCTTGTCGTCGTTGTCGCCTTCGCCGCCGTTGTCGCGCCCACTGTCACTGTTGTCATCTTTGTTGTCTTCGTTGTTTTTTGTCACCTAGGGAGAGACAAAGACAAACATCATTTATTGAAGGACTATGTATTTAATAGCGCACGTTGGGGGCTGATTTGCTTTTTTTGCACAGGTGAGATGGGCGAGAGCGGAGTGACAACAAGTTCAAAATGCGTTCAGAAGTGCACTGAAAAATAAATCAATTAGCATAAACGCGAAATGTAATACTGTCGCAGAAGTAGCGGCATCCTGAAATTTACTTTTATTTAAACATAACGCGTTTTCGTTTCCGTAAACATTTGTTCTCTTCGTAGCCTGTATGTGTCAAGAACACGGGTACGAGCGCGGTTTTCATTCTGTTATAGCGAGTTCGTTTCACACGCACTGGCACCGTTCGAGTTCTCTCCCAGAATGCATCGCACTCGCAGAGTGTTGCACGAAGAACTGGACTCAAACGAACACGCCAAATGCACAGAATGCAGAAGACTGATGCTGCCGCCATCTATGTTGTAAAAAAGGTACCGACCTCAAACCGAAACTGGCGCCTTTCTGTTTGGATGATGGGTCTGAATGCAAGAGTGAAGTCGCTAATAACGTTTATCTGCAAACGTTGGTCGCTGCAATCTGTAGTTTATAATTGCGATGGCTTCAAGCAACTCGGCTGTCGTAGAGATAGTTACACACAGCGTAAATTTCCGCAACCAGCTGTCTACAAAGCAGCTGGTTGCGATCTCTTTATAGCCGCTTACACTGAAGAAAACTGATGAGGCTGTCTGAGAAGAAGCTTGATCCGTTTGAGCATGGTACTATGCGTGAAGCACTGAAAGGGTACGGCTTAAAACTAGACTATTGGAATATCCAGCAAAACTTTTCGTGGGACCTCCTGATTTCGATTGCCATTACAGGTGGATCAGATATCAGCCTTGGTGAGGGCGTCGAAAACGAGCTTTCTCGAACAAAATACGACGGGAAAAGTTAGCTGACGTAGGCAAATGTTAAACATGATGATGTTGCCCAAGCCTCGGGTAAAGTCAGTATGTTTACTTTAGCTTTCTCTGGTGCTTATTGGGCAGTCACAGGTTTCTGCTGGAAGAGTTTTGTCTACAAATGTTCAATTTTTCACCCGCACACGGATGGTGATAAACATCCCGGGTGCCGCTGATGCGTTTGTTCTGAGCATTTCTTTACACACTGGTATATTTCAGCATGCGTACGGCAACAGAGTGACTTAAAACCTCCGAATGAAGCACAGTTTGTCAATTGCTTCCTTCATGAAATAGCAGATGCTCACAGTTCAAGCTCGCGTTTGATTCCGTTGCCCGCGGGACGCGATTTCCATCAGAAAATCTACTTTTTTTTTTTTCCTTTCAGTTCCGCGATACCTCGTAGCAGACGAACTTTCGTCGTCTGCTCCCGCTCCTCGCCGGTCGCCGGCTTCGCCCGAGCGAGGCATGACGGGATTGCATTTTGGCGCGCTCTCGATTTTCTCGCTGCAGCGAGTGCATGCACGCGTGGGATGTCAGCGATGAAACGAACTCGGAGAGTACAAACACAAACACTCGTGGAGTGGCTGCCGAAACGAACCCGCTCCACGCTGCGAGTGGGCAACCGTGGGCACGAGTGCCGTGAAACGAACTCGCTATTAGTTTCTTCCTGGTTAGCTCAACCCCTGGCGGTGTGCGAGAGGGGGTGTACGTGCTGCTTGTTTTGTCTCTTTCTTACTTTTTCCAATCTCAATGTCGCCGCCCCCCCCCCCCCCCCCCCCCCCGCGTCCGAACTCTGAAAGGGGCCCTGCAACGACTTTACTGTTTTTTTTTTATTTGCACCGAACCTGAGCGCACTTTTCTCGAAATCCGCTTTATTTTAAAAGTTGTAGGCATAATAAAATTACAAAAACAAGCAAAAAAGAACCTCCTTCATGACGCCCTTGGTTCTCTGTCCCCCCTTTTCACGCGCCCGCGGACCGCGGTGGCTGAGGATTGTGGGGATGGAGGGGAAGACGGAGAAAGGAGGTGAGGCCGAAGAAAGAGAGCTGCCTGGGAACGGGGCAGCTCCCTCTCCTCGGCTGAGCAGGACCAACAACGTCACAATTTCGCCACATGCCGCGCGCTTTCGACACCACGGGGCGCCCCCGTTGGAGGAGGAAGTTTCTGCGTCATCCGGTTAAAATATGACGCACTGATATTGAGTTACTCTCTCCGTGCCCGCTGGGATGCCCGAACCACGAGATGTGGAAACCACAAAAAAGGTAGACGCTGAAATAGGAGTGCAGGGCCCCTTAAAGGGATACATCAACGAAATTTGAAATATACCCGTCGTGTTCAAAAATAAGTTGAATATGGTCCACAATATTTATAAATAACAATCGCACGTTTGATTTTAAGTGTGATGGCTGTATTTTTCGTTATAAACGGTCCACTCTGGCAAGCACTCGGAGAACAGCCAGCGGAGAACACGTGACATCCAACGCAATTGTGACGTAGTTCGATTGAATCGAATTACGTCACGATTTCAGTCGTATTTCGCCGTCGAGCCGTGCGAAATACGACGACGGCGTCCAGGTAAACCAGGCAGCTCTGCCATTTCCGTCCCGTTTGCACAGTATACAAGGCCCGCTGGAAAGTCGCCGACGCCATACAGAGTCCGAAGGGCATCACCTTGAACTCGTAGAGTCCATCAGGCGTGACGAAGGCAGTTTTCTCGCGGTCCCTTTCATCAACCTCAATCTGCCAGTAGCCACTCTTCAAGTCCATCGACGAAAAGTACCGGGTGCGGCGTAAACGGTCGAGGGTGTCATCTATGCGGGGAAGCGGATAGACGTCTTTCTTTGTAACAGCATTCAACCGCCTTTAGTCCACGCAGAACCTGAGTTACGTCCTTCTTCTTCACCAGCACGACTGGAGAGGCCCACAGAATGCTTGAAGGCTGGATAATAGCGTCGTCAAGCATTTCTTGGACTTGTTTCTGGATGGTTTCCCTCTCCTTCGCCGAAACTCGGTACGGCGACTGATGAATAGGGGGCACGTCATCGTAACTAACTATTCGATGCCTCGCCACCGCTGTTTGGCGTAGCCTTGACGATGTGGCGAAGCACTTACTGAATTCAGCGAGAACGTCAGTCAGCTGTCGTCGCTGTGGGGCTGGGTGGGACGGGTCGATGTCGAGTTCTGACGTCGGGGTTCTCTTGTGCTGCGTCGGAAAGGCGTCTTAAATCAAGGCGATCGCGTCTGAGTCCTAAATTTCCTCGACGTAGCCCACAGCTGTACCTTTTTTAAGGTGCTGTGACTTTTGCCGGAGGTTGGTGACAAAGGCTATGGTACACAAGTCCTCGAGCTCGGTTACGCCTCTTGCAAAGCCAATCCCGCGTCCAAGGAGAAGTTGGACGCTTTCTTCCGACAGTGCTACACCGGATGTGCCTTCTTCGGTCCCGACAGGCAGAAAGACACTCGACAGCGGCGGCAGGTTTACGTGGCTGGTAAGGACTTGCACTGCAGCTAACGTCGCTTTGGGATCTTCCGCCGATGGAACAGGTTTCCGAAGCGTCAGCTTGTTTTCCGCAAAGTCGATGATGGCGCCGTATTCACACAAAAAGTTCGTCCCGAGAATGACGTCCCTCGAACAGTCTTGCAGAACGACGAACTTTACAGGGCAGGTTTCACCTTGGTTGTCAATGCAAGCAGTGCACTTGCCGACAGGTGTGATGAGATGTCCGCGGCGGACCACTCAGAACAGAGTAGTCTGCTCCGGCGTCGACGAGTTCCGTCGAGTCGGGGCCGTTAATGATAACATTGAGGTTCTTTGACACAGTTACAAAACGTCGTTTCGGGGCGTGCTCCCATGATCTTGGAGAATCTTGGCATCGCTCGTCTTCGGCAACACCACCTCCCGGCATTGCTGCTCCTAGTTTTCCCTACGGAAAGTGATGGGTGACAGGCTCTCTCGGCGAGACCGGCGGAAGGGCGATGGCGAGCGTCGGGAGGACGGTGAGCGGAATCCTCGGCGGGGAGACGACTCAGGACATGAAAAGCGGAGGAGGTAGTCCTCGATGTCCCAAGGTCGCTCTCCAAGAAGTGGTCGAGAATCGTTGGGAGCAAACCCTCGTAGGCCCAGCTGGCGGTAGGGGTATCGTCTGCAGATGTGGTCCGCTTCACCGCAGTGGTAGCACAGCGGCCGTCAATCGGCCGTCCGCCGCACGTCGGTCTTCCTGGGCGCCGGTTGTTCTCGCCGGACGTACTGAGGTCGATCGCCGAGCCGTCGGAGGTACGGCTGTGCTGGTGCGCCCCGTCGTCGTGGCGCAGGAGGTTGACGGACAGCAGGTGGCGGTCGTCGGGCCATGGCGTCATAGCTCACCGTCGGTTGTTCCGGTGGTGGCAGGTCGACGGGAGCCCCCGGTTGGAAGGCTCGCTGCACCTCCTCTCGCACTACTTTTCTCATGGAGAGCGAGGCAGAGCGATCGGCAGTAGACCTCCCGAACGTCGTCGCGGATGATCTGGCGAAGGTTGTCGACACCGAGGCTGCCCAGGTCAAGTGGCGACGATTCAATCGCCGAAGCAGCATTGGCGCCGGCGAGTCGATTGTAGTGGCTAGATTGTGCTTGCAAAGCCCGCTCCATGTTCGTGGCTTCAGCGACGAATTCAGCTACTGTCGTCGGGAGATGAGGCACAAGGCCGCCGAAGATTTCGCTCTTCACGCCCCTCATCAGGACGCGCAGCTTCTTTTGCTCGCTGGCCATAGGGTCGGCGCGGGCACTTAGGCGTAGCATGTCCTCAACGAAGCTGGTGATGCTTTCGTTGTGGCCTTGGGTTCTTGTAGCAGAAGGTCCTCTGCCCGCTGTCGTCGATGCTGGCTCGCGAATGTTCGCTTAAGTTCAGCAATGCAGGTATCCCACGATGTAAGGGAAGCCTCGTGGTTCTCAAACCAGTCCCTCGCTGTGCCTTCCAGTGAAAAGCAGAGGTTCTGGAGGCACTGTTTTGTCGTCCATCCGTTATGTCGGGCGACGCGTTGGTAGTCCTGGATCCAGTCTTCCACGTTTTCGTAGACCTCGC